AGTCTTCTTGCCTGAGCGGGTAAAGCAACTACAGCATCATCAGGAGAAAATCACATTAGTAATTCTAATAACTTAGTAGGGAAAGCATAGAAGAATACGTAATAATATAACAATAGCTGTGAAACTAACTAATGGGCTTTGTTGTGTTATTTCTCATTCCGTTACCATACTGATGATCATTCCAGCTGGAAGCTGGTTAACCAACTGTCTGTAATTATAGACTAGCACTGTCACACATTGTTCAGTCAAATACAGCCTACTCACTAGATTGAAAACAATATTTTATGCATCATTTTTATCTCTACAGCAATGGAAACAATGCTTTAGATTAGGGATGCACGGGTACCCGACCAGATATTCGGCCCCGGCCGTGTATTGGACTTCCCGGTAATACTCGGCTTCGGCCGAGTGTCGAAGTAAAAAACAGCCAAATCCGGGTAATTGAAAATGGCATCTAAGCCTTAATCTTTGTTACAACTTATGCGGTGCTGAAAGTTACAGCCAACAAAAAAAAAAAAGTGTTCTGAGCAAGAAAGATTGTTCGCTCGCTGAAAGTCGGGGATTCAGAGAACAATGGGGTTAATAACAGGCATGGCTTGAGAAGTGGATTTCTGAGGAAGGTGGGGGTTTTCAGAACAATAGGGGTTAGGGATTGAGAAGTTGGGGTTGAAAGTTGAAAGTAAAACTTGAATGTAATAAATACTCGGTTAAGTGTAATAAACGTCAATATTGTTTTTGTTTCTAATTTCTGTTTATATTGTTTTTTGGTGTGTGTGTGTGTGTTTTTTTTGGGGGGGTGCAAGGGGAGAACCCGGTCTCGAAGTTTAATGACCGTTACCCGGACCCAGTATTCGGCCAAACTGTACTACCCGTGCATTCCTACTTTAGATTGCTTTCCATTGCATAGTCAACAATGCTTATGCCTAACTCCATTTTTACTTATACAATAGCTTCTCCCAACCCTGCCATCTCGTTCGCTTTCAATTTACGACCAACTTCGTACTTCATTCCCAAATATCATTTCGTTTAGATCTTGTGACGTTTTTGCTCATATCCATTAGTGCAGTACTAGTACAGGTTGTTTTCAAACGTTACTTCAGTATGTCTGTTACTGTTACAGCTGTATAAAAGATAGTGCAATATTTAATGCTGATGTTCAGACCTCTTATTTCATCGCGAGAACTTAGCCAACTCAAGTGCATATGTTTATATTTGGGTTATGAATATGTTTTATTCAAGGGAATTGTTTTTGTAATAGGCCACCACACAAATCTTAATAGGGCATGTGTAGGGCTGATATACTTATCAGCGCTACTAGTAGAGTCCCCACGGCTGAAAGGGCGAGCATGTTTGGTGTGACGAGGATTCGAAGCCGCGACCCTCAGATTGCGAGTCGAGCGCCCTAACCACCTGGCCATGCGGGCCTTACAAATAAATAAGAAAACAGAACGAAATACAAACGTATGACGAAAACATTAGTTTCTAGTTTCGAGGTCGTTATTATTTCATATTAATAATGAATGTTCCTGGTTCTTTTTCCTCTTACTCGTTTTAAGTGTATGTGATTAAAAATAGTGTACAAGCTGTTGGTTATATTGTATGTATGCTGTTGGTTATATGTTTAATCCTGTTCTGTCTTATTGAGATAAATTTCACATTAGGTTTTGAGCGTAAGTTGAAACCTTTGCTATGTTGTTAATAAAGTAGACCTCACATTTAAATCATGTGTATTTAATGTGGAACCTATATTTCTAAAGTAGTAGTTTTGTGTTCCTATGGTTGTGACTCGGATGATATTTTGTACGTTACTTTTAAGTATTATTAGGAAACATAAAATGTTAAAGTTACAGCCCTATTATATTTGATCAAAGAATATGGTGATTGAAAGCTATTTTCTTCAAGAAGGTACAGCTCTCGGGTTTGATTACAACCTACCTCAGAATAATGAGGGTGAACCATATTTATTAGTTCCGCTTACTCCATACCCGTCAATTGAGAAAGCGACCTGGAACTCGCGAAACATTATATCAAAAGGGAAAACCAACAGTTAGGTGTTTAATTATTAGTCACACAAATATTTCTTAGACTTGATTGAAAAAAAACAAAAAAACTAGCTCAGTTATTGAGTATTGATAGGTTTTTATAGGGCCGCGATTCTTTACAGTAGGTGTCTGTGACTTGTTGACGATAAATTTCAACAATAAATAGACAGCACATAATCCACTTGTTTTAACATAATATATTCAAATCAAGTTAAACGTACGTACAAACAAAATTCGTCACACTATTGGTTATCAGAGTTGTATCCAGAGCTTTAAATAATTGTCTCATTTTCGTTAAAGTCCACACAGACGGGTTTAATCATTTTAGAATACCCTTTGAATAGACAAACTATTCTCCCCTATCTCTGTTGTTACAATACCAGCTGTGAAACTCACTTTAGAAATCACCCATTACGTCTAAACTGATAATCACGCAGTATAACCTCACTTTTTGTATCTGCATGTATTTATAACACGTGAAAGAAAAATCTAGAAATATCTAACTCTCTAGTAACAACAATATTAAACATAAGGAGAAAGACTTAGAAGCTTCGAGTAGGATGATGTCAACAGTTAACTACATATACAACTTACAATTTCTACAGAGTTACGTAAAGAAATTTGTCATAACTATAAGTTTTAAAGTAATTAATATTTAACATTCTTGTTATGAAAAATAAATAATCATTAAATATTGAGTCACTAATAAAAACTATATGATAACTCTTAAACTAAACAGTCTTGTACATCGGTGTAAATTATTAAGCGAGCACCTTGTAATATTATATATAAGTATACAAATATAAGTAAGGTTACAAATACTGTTGACTATATTACTACTTTTTTCTCACAAAATACAGTCCCAAGTATTTTTTAGTTTTACGTTCAACCCATTAAAACCAGGGAGCTTTATTTAAAACGTACTTTCTAGTGTCTTATAGACGGGATATAAATTATACAAATACAGATATAATATCGTGACATAATTCAGGTGCAATACTTCTGCACCAATGAAATATTCTTCACTGATATAATGTATATATACCAATCTATATTCACACTTCTATATCAATCACAGAAGAATTACAACGACTGTAGTCGTCCTACAAAAATCGTATTAATAAAGTGTCTAAACAGTGATCTGCAATTAATGTCGAGGACAGCTAACCAATAAAAAATGCTATCAATATAAAATTTAACAAGGTCGAGCTGGTTCATTTTAATTCGGTTATTCATAACAAAATAATGCAAAAATAAAAATGTAACTCCTTTGTTTTGTCTTAGCTGTTATCTTCAATTATATTCATAGCAGCATATGGAAATGGTAGGTCTAACCTTTGTATATACGTAGGAATATCCAAGCTGAAAACAGTGCAAACAACATAACTTACAGACAACAAGAGATCATTTGTTACTTCAAAGATATCCTTGCACAACTATCCTTAAGAATAGTAAAAATGTAAAATAAACCTTTACTTTCCAGGAACTCTTCGATTCCACTCTTAAACTATTGTAATGTGCTAGCCTCCATTACTGCGGACGGTAGATCCTTCCATAAGTCTCCCTACTGGGTAAGCAGTAAGTTTACGGCCTTGCAACTCTACAATTCAAGAATAAGCCTATAAAAAGAATACAACTATCGTTCTTCCTTTTGGCTTGTATTCTTCACAAGATACACAGTGGCGTAGCGAGATAAGAGGCAGCTGCTCTAGGGCCCAGGCCGACCTCAAAATTGATATTCAAAATTTTGAATATTGAAAATATTGCCCAAGACTCTTTCAGACGTAGTTACGCCACTGGAGATATGTTTCGAGTTGCTTCTTTAAACTGCTGCAACTCATTGGTAATTATGACGAAGAAACATGTAGTTTTTCGTTTTGACACAATCAAACAGTGACCATAAGCAACACCTTATACACATGATTGAGAAACAAAAGTGCTACTTTGCGCGAATGTTTTTATCCCCACTACCCACACAAAGGTGGCTTGTGTAAAAATAATTTGTTACACCAGCATTCTCGTCGTAAATACAGTAAACTCAACAGGGTAATGGTTGTAACTATCAAAGTTAATTTGTTTGTTTTGACTGTCGAGCAAAACTACTATAGAGTCATCTGCACTAACCGTCCCTAATCCAAGTCATAGACTAGAGGGGAGGCAATTAGTCAACATTCCTCATCACCACCTCTTGGGATACTCTAAAAACGAATACTAGGATAGAATGTGGCAGTATAATGCTCTTACAATTGCAAAAACGAGCATTTTTGGAGATGGGACTCAAGCTCGCGACCCTCAGAAGAAGAGTCGAATCTCCTAACCATCAGACCATAGCACGTCACTTTACAGTATATTTTGTTTAACACGACAAATATAATAGTACAATGCTTAGTAGTAGGGGAACACATAAGTCATAACAGTGCACAAAGTCTGAGAGAGACCGATTTTTCTCTCCTTCCTACACAGACCATGATTTTAGGATGGTCAGTGAATCAAATATTGTCCTTTAGCTTCAGTGGCTGATAGACAAACCCACCAAATTTTCAATACATTAGGTTCAAGGGAAAAAATACTTAGATCCATCTCAGTAATATCTCCATCTAAAAAAATCAAATATTGTAAAACCACATGGAATCAACATAAAAACAAAGATATCACTGCTCCTGTTTTTATATGGCCCCGCATGGCCAGGCGGTTAGGGCGCTCGACTCGCGGATTCAAATCCCCGTCCCACCAAACATGCTCGCCCTTTCAGCCTTGGAGGCGTTATACCGTGACGGTCAATCCCCACTATTCGTTGGTAAAAGAGTAGCCCAAGAGTTGGCGGTGGGTGGTGCTGGCTAGATGCCTTCCCTCTAGTCTTACATTGCTAAATTAAGGACAGCTAGCGCAAATAGCCCTCGTGTATTAGCTGCGATATAGCGGCTCATAGAATGGCTCTGAGTTTTTTCGCTTGCTTTTACAAGTACAAACTTTTAGCTCATAGCTCCGTCATCTCTTGACCGATTTGAGATCTAATTACAGTTTTGGACTCAGAAAGTGAAACCCTTTCATTTGGTGTATTCATTTGACCACGCTCAAGGTCTCATAGGTTAATTTATTATAATCCTGCCTTAAAGAATTTCAATTTGAGGGAAGGCTAATAGAGATCCTGATGAATAATAAAATCGAATCGGATATACCAGCGCCCCACGCTTGGTATTGATGGCGCAAAAAACATAGCTAATACAAAAGTTAGAAAGGTCTCATAGATTAATTTACTTTAATTCTGCCTCATAGTGCCCCGGCTACTGAGGATTCCCTCTTGCTTCATTTTCTACTTTTCAAGTGGATGTACACCAGAATGACCAGATAATTTCTTCGTCTAACATTCTTCACAATCTTATAAAGCCTACATATAAACTTTACTGGGTTATAGTGGAGAAGCTAAGAGAAGTAATTTGACTTTGTCTATGTGGGTAAAAAACATGGCGGATACTTTTGACAATCTCGAGTTTAATGATGGTGAGAATGATGGGATCCAAGATCGATACGTAGAGATATGTGGTAGACGAGATGATCGGTCATCTAGATTAGAACTTTTTTTCCCAGAACAAATTCTTGCCCAATGGAGTAAAGTTAAAACAACGACACGTCACGTACAAAGTGAAGATTCTTTTTGTATTATGTCCAATGATGAATCTAGATTCAAGGTTGTTCTTCATCACGTTTCTATCCATGTTCGAAAGGTCTAGATCAGTCTATCCATCATTCCGTCGCATTCTAAAGCATTTCAGCAAGGAAAGGCTAAATATCCTTTAAAATATATAGTGTGCAAGGTATTTCTGTTCCACAGGGACACTTAGATACCTCTATTGATAATGCCTTTTGGGGTCAATTACCCACACATTTTATTATAGGATGTATTGAAAACGATGCAGTTAAATGGATCCTAGAAGAAAAATTCGTGCAATTTTAAGAATTAGAATATCACTTCGGTGGTAATCAATAAGGATGGAAAACAGATTCCTGTTCGACCTTTGCAACCTGATTTTGATGCTGGTCAGGGGTCAGCAACATAGATAACTGTTAAAGAAAACTTTAATTCGTTAACTGAATTCGACAATTTTGGATGATGTCAGAAAGTTAAGAATATATTTGTGGGGTTGTCAAGAATGTCTTGGGGGGGGGGAGGTAAATTTCACGCAAAGCTGTACGAGGGCTATCTGCACTAGCCGTCCTTAATTTAGTAGTGAAAGACTAGAAGGAAGGCAGACAGTCATCACCACCACTCTTGGGTTACTCTTTTACCAAGGAATATCCAGTTTGCTACTCAATCAGTTTTTTTTCATAGTTACCATAGAAAACAATTGATGTTTTTTTATTAAAAAACACCACAACTTCATTTGATTTACTTATTATTCCTAAATTTTAGTTTACTTATAATTTGATAGGCCTAATATCGTAATAAAAATCACATTTGACTGCAATTATTACTTTCACATTCCTTTTTTTGTCTGTTCATTACGAATTTCAAAGCAGAAGTGTGTAAAAACAACACTTACAATAATCATTATTGTTTGAAATTCAATTTTATATCAAAAACACTTGTTTTTGTCACAACTTATAAGATAAAAGGAATCATTTAATATAAATGTCAAAATAAATTCATTCCAAGCAGGAACTCTTCATTTTCAAAATAAGGTTTTAACTTGAAGTTATTTTCTTGTATGACTTCTACGTATTTCGATATAACTAATCATACTTTCCTTTCAGTTTGAGATGACGGTTGAGCTTGTGTGAATTTAACATATTATTCAATGGATTTGAATATTTCTCTTAAAACACATCCTCTTTCTTGGTTTTTGGCATGTCACCGATGCCTTCGTCTATTGCAAAATGATTCTGAAAAAAACAACAACAAATATAATAATTAAATCTTTCCACTTGAATATCAGATATTTTGACAGAAAGTTGTATATTTAAAACCATATTCAATGACACAAAATAGGAGGATGACACTTACCATCTCCAAGACAAATGTGGAACAGTATATTTCAAACCATTCTCAATGACACAAAATCGGGGGATGACACCATCTTCAAGACAAATGTGGAGTAGTATATTTCAAACCATATTCAATGACACAAAATCGGGGGATGACACCATCTTCAAGACAAATGTGGAGCAGTATATTTTAAACCATATTTAATGACACAAAATCGGAGGATGGCACCATCTCCAAGACAAATGTGGAGCAGGATATTTCAAATCATATTCAATGACACAAAATCGGAGGATGACACTTACCATCTTCAAGACACGTGTAGAGTAAACAAAATATGATAATCTGACACTTCTTTTGTGTTCAGAGAACCAAGACTTAAACATATTCGATTTCAACGAATATAAAGGATATAAAAATGTGTAAAACTGTATCATTATTCTATTCCTGTTGATATGTACCCTATCAGAGGTTCTTTAGAACGAATAAAATTTGTTTGGAGAAACGTAACATCCGCAAAAGGTGTAAGTGACTTTCAGAGGTCTAACCCTTCTTCCTTGACCACTATACTCATAAATTACATTTTCACGGTCAGAAACTCGTGAAAAAAATTGTTTGGAAAATTTGGCAAACTTTACTATATATTTAGTTTGTTTGTTTTTATATTTCGCCCAAAGCTACCCGATGGCTATCTGCGCTAGCCGTCCCTAATTTAGCAGTGTAAGACTAGAGGGAAG